TTCAGTGATTGGGTGATATTTTTAAAGTGACTTCACCCAAATGAGACGAAATGTCGGAAAACCTCTGAACAAACAAAAATCAGCAAGGATAGGATAGGGTGATAAGTTTACCATTTCATAGGCTACAGGAAATTTTGTACTTTATAAGAGAAATTGTCAGATTTTTTTTTTGTCAGATTCCAGAAACTTGGCTTTTTCCTGGTCGACCAAACCTGGCTGTTTTGTCAGACTGATTGATTATAGGTTTATCATTCCGCAGACAACAGAAAATCTTATAATTTGTACGACAAAATGTAAGATTTTATTTCAGACTCTAGAAACGTTTTTTTTTGTCAGATTCCAGAAACTTGGCTTTTTCCTGGTCGACCAAACCTGGCTGTTTTATGTCAGACTGATTGATGATAGGTTTATCATTCCGCAGACAACAGGAAATCTTATAATTTGTACGAGAAAATGTAAGATTTTTTTTCAGATTCTAGAAACTTTTTTTTTGTCAGATTCAAGAAACTTGGCTTTTTCCTGGTCGGCCTAACATGACTGTTTTTTTGTCAGACTGACATGTCACTTCGCTTGGTTCTTCTCATATTCAGTGTTTGGGTGATTTTCATCCAAATTAGGTGTAAGCCGAATCGCGTCTGAACAAAAAAAATCAGCGAGGTTAGGATAGGGTGATAGGTTTACCATTTCATAGGCTACAGGAAATGTTATACCTTATAAGAGAAATTGTCAGATTTTTTTTGTCAGATTCCGGAAACTTGGCTTTTTCCTGGTCGGCCTAACCTGGCTGTTTTTTGTCAGGTTGACATGGCACTTCTCTTATTTTTAGGGGGATTGTAGCTAAATTTCTTAGTCATTTTTGTTGTATTTTGACCGCATCTGACAGGCCGAAATAGCGAGTGATCAAAAATGACCGAAGAAATGCTTCTCCCAATAAAAAAAACGGGAAATGTTAGGTGTCAATAGTGCAAAGTGTAAAACGGAAATGTGCCGATTACCCGGCCACTGTTATTTCTACACCTACGATGGCGTGCGGGCGTCGTGTTTTCGTCGTTATTAACTGGAATTATGCAAAACAGTACAAAATGTTCCATCGGCCTTTTATCTGGATCGGCCGAAACAATTGTTTACAAGTGTTACTCGTCCCCCGTGGCTAGTTTTGAATACTAACGCGTTCCCGGACGCCAGGTGCAGGACGGACCGATAACTCCCAACTAGAAAAACACACTCGGCACTATTTCATGCTCGTCGAAACGATGGAGGGTTCGAACCTTTCGATTTTTCCACCAACAGCTTAATTTTCCCAATCCATCGACTGACGGCAATTATTAAAACGCTGTTTCAAACCTTAACAACGGAAAAAAGGGTTGAGGGAGGCGCTAAGGGAAATATATAGTCATGACACACAAATAAGTACGGCCTGGGAGGAGATAGGGCGTTAAAGATTTATGTGCTTTTTGGCAGCGGGAGGGTGCTAGTTTGCATAAGAAACACTCCTTCACACGGCCACTGTATATCAAGTTAATTATACGTCAATCTTTGAATTTTTATCTCGAGTTTATTTAAATCGTGACGGCCCGAATCCGATATAATTTCTTAATTTCAGGGCAAGATAATCGATTCGAGGGGGGGGGCGAGGCTGAAGGGGATGGTATATTTTCATGTTTCTCCGATAAAAATGACGTCAATGACGATGGACCTGATCGTAAACATGACTCGCTGGAAGTGGTGACACACTAAAAATAAGCCTGTCGATATCAGGGACAAATCGCAATGTAACTATTTTTAATACATGCCCATTTTTAAACCCTGCTTAAAAATCGATTAGTGACAAGTTTTGAAGTTTTATTGAACCTCATCAAAGCCATCTGTATACCCTAATGTTCTCCTGAATTCTTCTTCTCTTTTGTAGTCTGTTCGGACTTTATCGGATGATGCAATGTTTCCAGGATCATTTCTATGAATAGGTTTCTGATTTTATTAATTATTATCGTGTACTTGAATTGTTTAGTTCACGTCCAATTGGATTGCCTCTGGTGCCTAAATGAGCTTTTCCTTGCTTTTGGCTGTAGGTTTGCCAGTTTTTGTATGTTCCTTAATGTATATCTTGTTTTTATTGAATTTTGGTCCATCAAACAAACTACTTAAATCGTTACTTCGATTAAAGGAACAATCACAGGAAGCAAGATTTTCGACGATTTATATTTCGTGAACAATGGCCAATAATTTGGACAGCGGGTCCTTATTGTGTAATTTGTATCCGCCTGATTTTATAACCGCTGCACCGACTATTCCTGCAGATCAAAATTGATATATAATTGTAAATTTAAAATTGAGCAAAAAACTAAGGTTACTACTACCTTGGCTCATGTTTGGCCCTTGGTAATGATGATAAAACTAGGTGGTTTATGCTCTTCAGGCACTGCAGCCTTCTGGCTTATTGTACCTTCCTAGTTCCTTAGTTCATTCAATAGACTCAATCCTTCTCCTTGGAAATATCAGGTCATTGTCTGTTGCTACTACAATTTCATTCCCTAGGTTTTTTCTGTACGCTAGGTTGAATCTTCATTGAGCCGTTGCTTCGCAATCGAAGATGATATGGGTGGTTGTTTCCTCTTCTTCAATGTGATTGACAGTTTTGTTGAGAATCCTTCATCCCTCCATACTTTGAGCCGTGGCACCCAAAGTGATGTTTTGGGTGATACGTTTTCCCTCTGGAGATTTTGGATGCATTTAGCTACTATTTCTGATGTGTCCTTTTTACATGCTAATAGTTTCAGGACTGCTTGATGATTCAGTTCAATGCAATAGACTCGATCCTTCTTCTCAGAAGTATTAGGTCATTGTTTGTTGCTACTACAATTTCATTCTCTAGGTTTTTCCTGTAGTCTAGGTTAAAACTCCACTGAGCTGTTGTTTCGCTTTCGAAGATGATTTGGGTGGCTGATGCCTCCTCCTCGTTAAATAATCTGCAGATGGAATCATCGTTGCATATGCCCAGTTGTGTAGATATTTTCTCAGATGTGACCGGTTAATAGTCCTATCTATCTGAGTCTGGCCATCTCCAACTGCAGCAATGTTGGTCCAGTTTTGGCGAGGGTTAGGCCGCTAGAGTTTATCCACTTCTCCATCTGTTTTGTTTGGATCCATTCTGCGATGGAGGATTCTGTATTTGTTTTTGCTATCCCAATTATACGTTCTGGGCTTATGTTTGGACTTGCAGATCTTCCTCTGGCCGGTGCATTTCCCTTTTCCTTACCCAAAATTCCTTTATGCCTTGGCACCCAAGATTTCATTAGGTTGTTGGGTTTACCTAGGTTTTGGAGTTAGTTTGCAGTGAGTTTGCCAGTTTTGGTGAGAGTTGTTTCATCCTAAGTTTACTCTGTCCACCGCCGCTAGAGTTTATCCATTTTTCTTTTTGTTTTGTTTGGATCCATTCTGCGATTGAAGATTCTGTGTATGTTTTTGTTACCCCAAGTATAGGTTCAGGATTATGTATGGACTTGCCGATCCTCCTCTGGCCAGGGTGTCAGTTTTTCGTTACCCAAAATTATGCCTTGGCACCCAAGATTTCATCGAGTTGTTGTGTTTCCCCAGGTTTTGGAGCTGGTTTCCAGTGAGTTTGCCAGTCTTGGTGAGGGTTGTTTCATCCTAAGTTTACTCTGTCCACGGCCGCTAAAGTTTATCCATTTTTCTTTTTGTTTTGTATGGATCCATTCTGCGATGGAAGATTCAGTCTATGTTTTTGTTGTCCCAAGTATAGGTTTTGGGCTTAAGTATGGACTTGCAGATCCTCCTCTGGCCAGGGTGTCAGTTTTTTCGTTACCCAAAATTATGCTTTGGCACCCAAGATTTCATCGGGTTGTTGTGTTTCCCCAGGTTTTGGAGATTTTAAATGCATTCACTGAGTTATTTTTTATGTGATTTTTTTACACGCTTGGTTTATTAGCTGAGTGGCTATCAGATCTTACTAGCATTTGTCAGTGTAACCTCTTTTATAAATTCACTAGGTTTTTGTGGTCCGATTGTCCAATTAACATCTTTCAATTAATTAAGGTTTTTAGTTGAGATAAAAGTCAGTGTCACGAGCGGGATTCGAACCCACGACCTTCGGCTTAATACGCCGCTACTCTACCACTTGAGCTATCGTGACTTCGATCCACTAGGACACTAACATCCCATGTCAGCCCCACCTTTTTGAAAAATGGCAACGGGGTTGAGATGGGAAGTTAGTATCCGAGTGGATTGAAGTCATGATAGCTCAAGTGGGCACAACAGCGGCGTATCAAGCCGAAGGTCGTGGGTTCGAATCCCGCTCGTGACACTGACTTTTTTATCTCAACTAAAAACCTCTTTTATAAAATTTCTATAGCACGAGGATTTCTGCTTGAAAAACCGAAGTATACTCCTCTAATGCGTTTGACTGCTCATATCTTGGCTTTCTTCGTTTATTTTGGAACCATCTGAAAACCACGTTGTATCTGATACTCTCCTAAGTTCTCTCCTCACCTTTATAGGAAAAATATTTCCGGGATCATGTAGTCAGTACTCATTTCTAAGAACGTGTACGAGGGCGTCTGATTTACCTTTTGCCCTTAGAATTAATTCTGATAAATTATTATTAACGAGAATAAAAGACACAGAAAATTAATAATGAAACTCATTTTAAACATTACAAATCGTAATTAAGAATGAAAGGACAGTAACAGGAATAAAGTAATTGTCAAAAAGTGCAATATTTATTATTGAAAAATTATTAATATTAATTTATTAAAAGGCGTGAATTGGTATTATAATGTTAAAAAAATAAATAAATATAATTTAAAAAAAAAAAACAGGGCAGAAAAATTATAAGAAAGATAATAGATTTAATCAGAAATGAAAAAGAATATCGAAATTAATAGTTTAAAATTTAACAAAACAAAAGGTGGAAATTATGTGAAATGGAGGATTAACGAGTTTATTGTCTATATGTTTGAAAAGAGATGATAAGAGGTACTCACCGCGATGTCCCTGTGATTGCCTGAGAAGGGCCAGAAACAATGCGCATCACCCCAACCAGTTCTTGGGCTTTGTTGACACTAAGGGTCACAGAGACATAACTTGTGAGTAACTCAAATTAGGAAAATGGGCCGAGGTTTGGGTCTGGAGCTGGAAATGACGGGATGGAGGAAAAGGTTGAGAAAATAATAAAGTAAAATTAAAAAAAAAATTAAAATTAAATGAAATTGGGGGAAAAATTCGGCCTGAGCCAAAACGCGTTGTCCCCGATTGTGTCTGCGGTATAATTTAAAAAAACCCTAGCCTAATTTGTGTTTAGCTTGAATTTAAATTTCAAATCCCCTTAGGCACAAGGAAAAAAATTCCAAAATTTCATTTATCAGGTTGAAGTTTCGTCTTAAAATCAAAGAAATTACGGATTGAAATGATCTGCCCTGAAAAAAAATCTGTCTTAAAAAAATATATATAAAAATAAATGAAATAAAAATAAAAATATAATTCCGCGTGAACTGGATGCATAAAACTTTTCCCCCGAACTGTAAAACTGACAAGTCACGGAAAGTTAATTGTTCATGAACCATGTGCAATTAATAAACCGTGTGCGAGCTTTCCTTTAACGCCTTGGCGTGGCCGGCGGTTTAATTTGAAATCGACCCAGGACGGGAGGTCAAATTACCTTGGTGGTATGTGTCCTGAGGCTGCTTTCCGTCGCGAACCCCTTACCGCAGATGGTGCAGTGGAACGGCCGGTTCTTGGCCCGCTCCACCTGCGCGTCGTGGTTCCTCAGGTGCTGCTGCAGGTTCGACAGCTGGATGAAGGCGCGGCCACACTCGGCCAAGTGGCACCGGTACGGCCTCTCTCCTGAAACACGAAAATAAACAAATCGTCAAAATCAAGGACTTTAAAAACAAACAAAACCAAAGGTCGAGCCATTCTTCAAAAGGTCGAGGCTGTCTTCATACCAACTGAATATTTGACCATTTAGCCTCCTTTATCTCAAACTAAGTGATACAAACAATTCAATCCATGCCCTTTTATCATGAGGGTTTAGCTATTTACCATAGACGACATAGACTTTTTTTAGAACTTCAAGTGACAATTTATGACAAAATTAAAGAGACATTTGCGAAATGAAATAATTTAACATGATTTTTCCAGTCATCCTGGTCTGCCTTATCCTCGCTGTTTGGACTGATGAGTTATGGCATTTTGTCTACTTAAGTGGTGGATTTGGGTTTCTTCATTCTATAAGTTTCATTTAGGCCAGAATTTCAGATCCAACGAGAAATCTGGGGTTCAAGGTTGATCTTCACAGAGCTTTGACACTTCGAAGTGTCAAATAAGTCTATGAAAGATTGGTAGAAAAAAAAAATAAACGAAGGAAATAAAATTAGCTGGGACAATTCAAAGTGATAGTTGATGCCTATTAAAGGCAGGTTTGAGGAAAAAAACCGAAGGAAATAAAAATAATTTAATTTCATATTTCCAGTCAACCTGGTCTGGCTTATCCTCGCAATTTGGACTGATGAGTTATGGCATTTTCCATACTTAAGATGCGGATTTTTGTTTCTTCATTCGCTAAGTTTCATCTCGGCCAGAAGATCCCACGAGAAATCTGGGGTTCAAGGTAGGTAGGTCAGAAATGATAATTCTATTAAACATTGGCAGAAAAAAGTAATAAATAAATAAACGAAGGAAATAAAATTAGCTTGGACACTTCAAAGTGACAATTGATGTCTATTAAAGCCAGGTTTGAAGAAAAAACCGAAGGGAAAAAAATTTAATTTGATTTTTCCTGTCATCCTGGCGTGCCTTATCCTACCTGTTTGGACTGATGAATTATGGCAATTTTATCTCGGTCAGAATTTACAGATCCAGCGAGAAATCTGGGGTTCAAGGTTGGTCTTCACAGAGCTTTGACACTTCAAAGTGTCAAATGGTAAGTCTATTAAAGATTGGCAGAAAAAATTATTCGAATGAAATAAAATTAATTAGCTTGGACACTTCAAAGTGACAATTGATGTCTATTAAAGGCAGATTTGAGGGAAAAAAACCGAAGGAAATAAAAGTAATTTAATTTGATATTTCCAGTCAACCTGGTCTGGCTTATCCTCGCAGTTTGGAATGATGAGTTATGGCATTTACCATACTTAAGTGGCGGAGTTTTGTTTCTTCATTGCCTAAGTTTCATCTCGGTCAGAATTTACAGATCCAACGAGGAATCTGGGTTTGAAAGTAGGTCCTCATTGAAGTTTGGGCACTTTAAAGTGTCAAATAAGTCTATTAAAGGCAGATTTGAGGAAAAAACCGAAGGAAATAAAAGTAATTTAATTTGATTTTTCCAGTCAACCTGGTGTGCTTTATCCTGTTTGGACTGATGAATTATGGCAATTTGCCTTCTTAAAGTGGTGGAGTTTCATCTCGGTCAGAATTTACAGATCCAACGAGAAATCTGAGATTCAAGGTCTTCAATGAAGTTTGGACACTTCAAAGTGTAAATTTTTAAATCTACGAAAACAGATATGAGAAAAAAACTCAAAGGAAATAAAAGTATTTAAATTTGATTTTTTCCAGTCAACCTGGTCTGGCTTATCCTCGATGTATGGACTGATGAGTTATGGCATTTTCCATACTTAAGTTGTGGATTTTTGTTTCTTCATTCACTAAGTTTCATTTCGGCCAGAATTTACATATCCAACGAGGAATCTGGGGTTCAAAGTAGGTCCTCATTGAAGTTTGGGCACTTTAAAGTGTCAAATAAGTCTATTAAAGGCAGATTTGAGGAAAAAACCGAAGGAAATAAAAGTAATTTAATTTGAATTTTCCAGTCAACCTGGTGTGGCTTTATCCTAGCTGTTTGCACTGATGAATTATGGCAATTTGCATTCTTAAAATGATGGAGTTTCATCTCGGTCAGAATTTCCAGATCCAACGATAAATCTGTGGTTCATGGTCTTCATTGAAGTTTGGACACTTCAAAGTGTAAATTGTTAAATCTACGAAAACGATTTGAGAAAGAAAAAACTCGAAGGAAATAAAATTATTTTAATTTTATTTTTTCCGGTCATACTGGTCTGGCTTATCATCGCTGTTTTGACTAAAAGACTGGACACGTCGAAGTGTCGAAGTGTCAATTAGTCTGTTAAGATTTTGACTGTTTAGTATGGCATTTTGCTTTCTGAAGTGATGGATTTGTGTTTCTTTATTCGCCAAGTTTCATCTGCAAGAATTTACAGATTCAACGAGGAATCTGGGGTTTGAGGTGTCTTCACAGAGCTTGGATACTTCAAAGTCAGTTGGTACGTTTGTTAAAGACAGATTTGAGGAACAAACCGAAGTTAATAATAGAATGTGCTGGGGTTCAAGGTGGCGCCGTAGAGCTTGGATCCGGCCCATAAGGCCGTCTTCCCATGCATCGATGTTTTTCGTGATTGTCATTATGTCGATAATATTACGACTTTAGAAACAATCTCCTGTACGAGATGTCCGGTTATATTTGGTTCCGGCTGGTGCACACGATAAAGAGGACAATTTGACTACAGTTAACGCTTTTCCCGGGGTTGAGACAATCGTGTCATGCCTCGGGTCATTCGATCAAATTGATTTCTAAGAAAACATTCACAGTGTTGAATTGTAACGAGGCGTGGGACGGGGAATTAAAAATATTGATAAAGCGAAATAACCAATTTCTCGCTTTTAACGCAATGCCGTATTGGCTTTAATTCACCCCCGTCGACCAACCCGTGAAGGCAAGGGGGTCGAGGGAGGGAAAAAATTGTAGTAATTTTCTTCTGACAAAAGAAAAAAGCTCTTTGTGAGAAAGGGGTGGACGCCTGGGCTGCGGTTGACGCGCCACGCCCATTTTTTATCCACAGCGCGACCGACGTTTGGACTTTTTCGAGTGCATTTGCACCGGGCGCGACCGCGGACGACGGTGTCTATTAAACCGAGTGAGTATGGATGTATCCGTCAATGCACGATTCCCCATTGCATTATTCAATCACCGGGAATTGGGCTCTTTCAAACAACGCCCTTTTAGGAAATTCCTACTGTAAAATCCCACCCGATGCAATATGCAACCGGGGGGGGGGGATAATGCATATGCGTGAAGGGCCTTGTCACGGCCAGGACGTGTCAAACGACCGATTCAAAACGGCGAGTGCGTACAATTGAAATTTCTTCCCACGCTAAGCTTTTAGTTCAGATCCGTTAATCTTTCTATTAATACACGGACAACGAAAAAAAACAACAGAATTTTCAATCATTTTGGATTTTTTTTATCCTTGCTACATATATAAAAAAACAAATATATTACAAGGCTCTCAGAACATCCCATCAAATTTGAACACTAGGAGAAGAAGAAATCAGAGAAAAATTAAATATATTATATATAATACAGATGACATCAAAACAATTAAAATAACTGAGAATAAAAAACCGAAAAATATGAACATTCAAACTTATGAGGGACGTACACCTGGCTCTTTAAAACTGAAATAAATATAAATATATACCTACATAATAAACTAGAAAATTTCAATTAATTATTCTTTTTATCTAAGGTTTTTTGATGAGATGAAAAATAAGTGTAACGAGCGGGATTCGAACCCACGACCTTCTGCTTAATACGCCGCAGCTCTAACCACTTGTGCTAGCGTAGATCCACTCGGACACCAACTCATCTCAACCTACAACCGTTCGAATGTTCCTTCTTTTTTGCCACATTTTCAATTTTTATTTAATTTTTCATCTCAACCATAAACCTCAGATCAAAAGAATAATTAATATGGTCAATTATGGCCACTACACATGTATGGATTAATTTGATAATTAAAAGAAGTAATTGCTACCCGTGGCCACTTCATAAGTCCCTGAGAATCGAATCCTGATTATACATTTGAAAGTGTGGCAAAAAAGAGGGAAAATTAAGGTTGTAGGTTGAAATGGGAAGTTGGTGTCCGAGGGGATCGAAGTCAAGACAGCTCCAGTCGATAGGCGTATCGAGCCGAAGGTCGTTGGTTCGGATCCCGCTCGTGATACTGATTTTTCATCTCATCCAAAACTCTTACATAAAAAGAATAACTAATTGGAATTTTCTAGTTTGTTATAAGTGGTGGATTTTGTGTTTCTTTATTTGCTAAGATTCATTTCGGCCGGAATTTACATATCCAACGAGGAATTTAAGGTTCAAGGAAGGTCTTCTCAGAGCTTTGGCACTTCAAAGTGTCAGATGACAAGTAAATTAAAGATTGGCGGAAAAAATATTAAATAAACGAAAGAAAAAAATTAGCTTGGACACTTCAAAGTAACAATTGATGTCTATTAAAGGTAGGTTTGAGGGAAAAAACCCGAAGGAAATAAAAGTAATTTAATTTGATTTTTCCAGTCATCCTGGTCTGCCTTATCCTGTTTGGACTGATGAGTATGGCACTTTTGCCTACTTAATTAGTAGATTTGTGTTTCTTTATTCGCTCAGTTTCATCTCGGCCAGAATTCACAGATCCAACGACGAAACTGGGGTTCAATAGGCGTATCGAGCCGAAGGTCGTTGGTTCGAATCCCGCTCGTGATACTAATTTTTCATCTCATCCGAAAACCTTAGATAAAAAGAATAATTAATTAGAATTTTCTAGTTTGTTTTGTGTGTATATATTTATTTAATTTACTTCCGCTTGAAAGACCGAGGTGTACTTCCCTCTTAAATTTGAACGCTTATATTTTCTCTTAGATAAAAATAATAATTAAATGGAATAATTAATATGGTCAATTATGCCCACTAAACAAAAATTGGATAAACTAGAAAATCTTAAGAAAGATCACACTGGTAAAAAAATCCTCATAAGATCAGACAGCCAAGCAGT